AAATATACTAACACTTTAAAGATTAAAGGACTATTTTTAAAGGAGAAAAATAGTGCTTACCTTGTATAATAAAACATTAAAACTAAGTAACTAAGTAATAAGTTAAACTATAAAAAACTTAAACCTTTTAAAATTCTAAAAAAAGTCTTACTAATTAACTATAAACTAAAACTACTTAACATAATAAAAATCTACCTAGTCTTTCATATTACACTTCTTAAACCAGTATTACACAAATTACACACTAAAGACTATATTATTATAGAACCTAACAAACTAGAATATAAAGTTAAACAAATTATTAACTATAAAAACAAAAATAGTTATAATAAATATCTTATTAAATAAAAAGGCTATAGATATAAAGATAACTTATAAAAACTAATTAAAAACCTTTAATACTCCTAGGTATTACTAAAAGAATACTAAAATCAAAGTTAGTTAGCTTTAGATCCTTAAACACTACCTCCTAGTTAATAACCCTAAAAACACTACTAGCCTATATCTCCTTAGCTACAACCAACTTAAAAAAGAACACAGCAGAATCCACAGATTCACTATCTAGGATTTCTTAACCCTTTTTAAATATTATTTACTTTACTTTATAAATATGCTTTAGCTTTATAAGTAACTTATCTATTTTAGCCTAAGCTTAACATAGTATATCTACTTTTTATTAAAGAATTAGTTCTTTTAACTCCTTTTTATACTTAAAATAATTAGATTTATTTAAAAAATAATTTACTATTATAAACAAATTAATACCTTTAAAAAAATAAAATAAAAAGAATACTTATATTTATAAATTATATTTACTAACATATTACAAAAATAACTATAATAAATATACTTAAAACATTTTAATTTATTAACTAATATCTTATAGTAATAATTAGCTAATTAATAATATAAATATAGTATAACTTTAAAGCTAAACTCTTTGATTTTAAGTATAAGCTTTAAGTAACATTATATAAAAAAGCCCTTAATATAAAAATCACTATATAACATTTTATTAGTATAAAAAAAGAATACTTAATATTATCTTAGCCTAAATAACAAAAAGCTTAACCTATTTATATAGTTTAAGGACTAAACCTTTAGAGAAAAGACCTAATATTATAACTTATTAAATATAATAGGACTAAAGGATATCCTTACAAGGTACCTAGTAATTATAAACAAGTTATATACTATAGACATAGGAAACCAAGGTATACTCCTTTAGCGTAAAAGAACTATAGTGTAAAGTTATATAGAGATAAAGAAGTAAACAACTAATTATATGTAAGCACAATTAATCATAACGTGAGCGCTTATGTGCCCTACTTTAAGTAATCACTTTATATAACACCTAGATTACTAGTAATTAGGTGTAAGCTAAAACCTTAGCAATAAGCACACAGGACTTATATATAGGATGGACTTAAATAGACTTAAGGATAGACTTCTATAGCTCTTCAGTAATCAACTTTGTGATTATCCCCTTAGATACTCTTAGTAACCTTCACTAGTGACCAACGTTACAAGTCCCTTGTTGAGTATACGACTAATCACCATATCCTCTGACGACCTGATCCTTTCAGCACGACTACAGCACTGTTCCCCAGCTTCGTTGCCTCAGCTTCTGCTAATAGACACTACCACGGAAAGCCGACCGTAACACGTGGCACAAGGTAGTACAGCCACAAAAGGTAGTTACAGGGTTGTAAAGTTCATGATACTGTTTCAGGGTGTAGGGCCTATTTAACAGGTAAAAGGCTCGAGATTAGCAGGCTAAGTGTTATGGTCAGATTGTAATAGCACAACTCCCCTAGCCAGATGGTTGTACGTCACAAGGGCATATAAGCAGTGTTGACAGCAGGGCTTGCACGCGTGCAAGCACTGACGGATCTTTTGGGTCCTTTGGGTCAATTGGTCATGGTCGCGGAGTCTAAAGGTCCTTGCCACAGAGCGTCACTGTCAACGCTCTGTTACAAAGTGTATTGCCTAAAAATATGGCCAAAAGCGGTGATCGGTTGTGGGGGGTGATCGGTTGTGGGGGTGCCCCTCTTAATCAGCTTGTTTGTACTAGACATAAGCCGGAACGTGACGGCTACGACTTGACGGAATATTAAGAGCCTGGTCAGATGCCTAGAAAATTGTTTAAATGCTGAGGCCCGCTATGAGCGAATCATCTTCTTCCGTCTATCTTCTAGGGTACCAATAAGAGGGGACAGATCTGATGTAATCATGCAAAAGGCAACAGGCTTAATCAACAGATATCCTCATGATTCCATTTCCTGGTGCTAACAAGTACATCGACCTTATCCCGATCCGCAGTCTACACTTGCTGGGCAGCCTGTGGTGCAGTCCTATTGAGTACATTAATATAACCACTGACAACTACAAGCAATTACAAGTAGTGTAACAGTCAGAATGAACGTCTAGACTACGCCGAGCTAAGAAGTAACGCGAGGCTTGCCTTGGCGGCGCAAATGCAGACTTCTTTGCCTAGAACTTTTCAGGTCATATTTGGGCACCATGCAATGTGGGAGGAGGCAGGAGACTCAATAGCAGAGCTAATGAAGAAGCTAAGTGTAATTGTGAAGAAATGGGAGAGACGCATCTTGTCGGTTATGAGAGGCAAGGCTAATTATGAGTTGTTAGGTGGTTTGTTTATGTTGTGGGTTAAGCGCGAAGCCAAGAGAGAGTCAATTGTGTTGAGTAGAGGAAATGGTGGGCTTTCCAAGACTTCTTATACTTGTCAAGAGTTGTCAACAAGAATAAGAAGCATAACTGCCAGAACTAGGGAAACTTGGTTATGAAGCTGGATTGACATGTAATCAATGCGAGATAACCCCTAGTAAATCATGTCCGTAGTCACAGAGCATCAGCTTCATCGAACCATTTCCATATCTTAACTATGAACCCCTTCTTAGTATTTTACGCCGTTGCAAAGACTGAGTATAATAAGTCATGTATATATGTATTGTCAGAATCCTTCATTGACTTTTTAACTTTCTTCCCTTGTTTTGTTTTGTGCTGGGGGTGAGCTTGACTAAGGGTAGCATCGTTATAATTAACCATCTCTCGCATGTGGCAATTCAACCAATTTCAACTCCCAGCTTGCTGCTATCTTAGGGTCTTCCCTTAACGCATGCATCACGCTAAGAGTCGTACTCAAATAAAAAAAGACTGAGATTGATAGTGGCGTAGTAGACGCACACGCGGTTGATGAATGTCAGAGGAATGGTACAATAAAGTGAAATGAAGTTGAAGAGGTGGCAGGAAGAAAAACATGGAAGGGCGGGGCAGCCTTGTCTTTCAGATGATAGAAGGCCAGTGCGCCACGGTGCCAGGTGCTTTAGGTATGAAGCAGGGCTATGGGTTTTGGTCCCATTGGAGCCCGGCTAGATGCCGATGGTGGACGTGTATTTCGATGATAATTATCGGGGCCAGATTAGGACCCACCTTTCCCTCCGCCTTCTCCAGGCTCCATCCGAACTTCTCGGGGGGAATTAGTCTAGGGATGCATGCAACCCTTGCCAATAGTTGGATGCCTATGCGCGGCATCATCCAGGTGAAGGAAGTGGCCTACCCCGGAGAACGTTATTGATAATGACTCTTGTCCGCCCATAGCACGCGCATTGCAGAAGGGAACTTATAGACGAAGAAGGATTTTCTTCATCAGCACAAGACTCAAGACACTGGCGTGAACCACCACCACCGCCGCCGCCGCCGCCGCCGCCGCCCCTACCCATGAGGCAAGACGACAGGCGTTGCGAGAAGAAATCAGGTCCAGACGCAGTGATAGCAAGTAGTCCGAGCACACACGAGCGGGTTTCCTGTGGCTCGTGGAGATTCTTGAGCGGAGGCTTGGTGGGCCGACCGGTTGGAATTGAACGATGAGACCAATGTATCGCCAACGAGAACCGACTGGCTGGTTGACGGGACGAATCCCTAAAGTCAAGTGGGACTATCTGTATATCCATATGACGTCTTGGGCAGAGCTGCCCTGCTGCTATCCATCCATTTGAGCACAAGCATGCTACTTTTAGCGTCGCACGGGCCAGAATACCCCTTGTTACTGGACAAGCTGAGCTATGTCCTTCCCTGTACCGGGATCAGTTGGCATTTGGCCCCTATGGCTGTTTAGGCGCTAAAAGTGGTACCGTTCGGACTTAATAGGATGGGGACCGCTATACCTAGCTACACTAAGACTATGTGGACCCGCGACAGGGCATCCGGGTTTAAGGCTTGGCTCCAGCCGCCGGAACGCGGGAACGGGTGGAGCAACCACACTGTCGAGATCGTCCTCGACGCTCCCTCGTCCTCATGTCACCCACGGGAGCTGGCGACAGCGACCTGCTACCACTGTCGCCGCGTGTGATCCAAATCACGCGCCCATCTTACATGTTGGAGATGGCCATGGGGTGGAGGGGACACGACACTGACTCCACGCGAGATGGGAGGCGAGCGACCGAGGGAAGGACACTTTTCAGTTACACAACACACAGTAGCGGGCTTAATTACTATCCCATCGACTGCGGGAAATTTTCAAGACCCCTAACTGCGGGGTAGAGCCAATTAGGCCATATGAAGTCATTGCATCTATCCAATACCCTGCTAGGCATCTCGGTACCTCTATCCCCTACGTATTTCGGCTGCGTCATATGTACCAGGGATGCCTCCAGTACATAAAGGCAGGCCACTTTCCAGTCACAACATCTCGATTGATAGCGGTCATGGACACCGTTCGGCGCTTTTTGTCTGGTGAGAAGAGGGAACAGTCTGTCTAGAAATATCAAGAGGGCCATCTACATCACATCCATAGGCTGAGCTTCACGCTTGCGATTATTCCTGACTTCAAAACTGACTAGAAATGCTGGTTGGGATATTTATCAATCAATTAAGACACAATTAGATTTATTTGACCAAGTAGATGCATACAAGACCGAGTCGTATTCTTATCTTGCATAGGAGAGTGCATGCCGGATGCTATGGAGTTGTGCCGTACATCAGTTCAAGGTGACCACTACTTTCTTTGCCGATACGCCCTCCCTGCAGACTTCAAAGGCCTTTTGCAAGCTCTCCAGCCCCTTGCCAACGAGGTACGGCTCGGGGGCGCAAGTGAAGGATCCGGCGGCCAGAGCCTTGCCGAGAAACCTCGAATATATCGCTGGGCCGACCTCGTTATCGCGCAAAGTGCCCCCAAAGACGACGTCTGTCTTGACACCCTCGGGCACGTCTGCAGGCTGCGCAGTAATGTTGGAGACGAATTTGACGCCCGTGCAGCGGGACAAGACCTCGCCAACGAGACCGACGGATCCAGGCACGATGGCCAACCCTCCGGCGGATTGCTTGTCAGTAAATGCACTGACAACCTGGTCAATCACGTCCTCGTCATGATAGTCAAACACCTGGGCAGCCCCCAGCTTTTTCAAAAGGTCAAAGTTCTTGGGCGATGCCACGGTGATGACCTCATAGCCGGAGGCGACGGCTAGCTGGATGGCACTGCATCCAAGGCTCGATGCGCCACCCCATATGAGGACGGTCTTGCCGGTGCTAGACCGAGCAGGGACGGCGGGGAGCTCGAGGGCCAGTTGGTCTTTTTGGTATAGGGCGCACGAGACGGTCGACACGGCCAGCGGGAGCACGGACGCCTGCTCGTATGAGATGCTGTCGGGGATGGGGGCGGCCATGAAGTCCGACACGATAGTGTAAAGCTGGAAACCCCCCTCGGAGGTCTTGTTGTTGGTCACGTTGATGGCGTGGGCGACAACGCGGTCACCTGGCTTGAACGCATCCACGCCAGGTCCCACCTCGGCGACCTCGCCAGCAATGTCATTTCCCAAGATTTGCGGATAAGTCAACCATGGGAACAGATCCGGCCCAAGAGTCTGCAGCGCTGGCTCGAGAGGGTTGATGGCCACGGCATAGTTCCGGATCAGGATCTCGGACGCGGCGGGGTGGGAGTAAGGGGCCTCCTTAACCTCCAATTTGGGAGCTTTGGCGGCCATCTGCCAGGCAGCGTAATTTTGGGAGGCCATGTGGAATTGAGGGATAATGGTTCTGGTTATGAGATGATAAGCGATGGCTTGGTGGAATGATACTGCAAGGTGGTGCAATAGACAATGGACCGGCCCAAGATTTATATCCTTCCAAGCTAAAGACAAATACGGAGATAGCGGCAATATTGGACGACACCCGGTGGCCAGCTGCCGCTATATCCGGTCTTCCATAGCCCCACTATCGTCAATGGAGCGCGAAAAGGGATAAGGGAAAAGAAGTCCGCTGTTGTATGCAGCGTCAAGCGTGCTACGTAATGACGGCTATTCAAGATGGCGCAAGTCGTTCCGTTGGTAGGGTGAGAAGTGTACCCCCACAACTCCAAAACCCATCGTCAGAACAGACATTTCGCACCAAAACTAACAAACTCCTTCCACCACACAACAACTAACGCCTATATCCTTTGTCGCAAATGTCACAGTCAGACAGTTTCCAGATGTAGGTACCTCCATACTTCCTCTGTTCTCTTCCTTGTTCTTTCCTCTCAGGATGTGTCGGATAGCGCTGACCAAGTTTCCCGCCTCTTGTCTGCAGTTCATCTGTCCCCATTGAATACGACGAGATTACAGCCAGTATCACTCCAAAATAGGAATTAATACAATATGCACTGCCTTACTCTTGACAACGCCATATTCTTCTGTGACTGTTACCTTGCCTCTTAGCTCTCCAATGCTTCTTAGGCGGTCATGAAATCTGCTTAAACCCTTGTGGCGCGCACGTTACTGGGGACAGGTTGTACTACGTTGAGGCTACGTTTATCCTGAATAAGAGATGTGACTAGTACCTGGCCATCAGTGGAGTCTTAGTGAACCGTGGGAGGGATGTAGTGTCTTAGTCTATCATCATTCTTAGTCTCAAGCAAGCTATCCCCGTGTAATTTACTAGCTGTGTCAGAGAGAATGGACTATGTTTCCAAACTGAAGACGGGATTATTCTCATCTCTACCTCCTCCTCATAGCCCATGTCTCCTTAATTGTGCCCTTAGCTTTAGTGTTTTTGCTATGCTGCCGTGGCGGTTATGAAACTTGGAGTCCCTGGCGCAGAGGATGTTGACGAGGTATGGAATCCTCCCTGTGGGGCCAAAATCTAGCATGTCAACGTCATGTTTGACTTCGTTGAGTTCTGAACGGTATGGCAAGAGGTATACTTGACGAGTAATTGATTTGGCAAATTTATCGCTTGCAGGCGGGCACAGTCGGGTGTTCTTGTGTCTCAACTGGGAGGAGTTGCCGTCACTTTGTCACACCTTCAATCAACTTTCCTGTGCGTTGATTGCATACAGGGTGAAGGTCCCTTCTCCTGGATAAGCATAATCATGGATGAAACCTACGTTTGATATAGTACTACAGTAAGCTGAATTAGTCTGTTGCGTTGTGGATCAATTGCATTGCACTCCGCATCAATCTAACTCTGCTTGAACCTTGTTGTTTGTGACCTCTTGTTTGATAGAAGTCGGCTAATTGCATGAGAATAGATGTATTCAACAGCTTGCTTTCCGATCAGTGTAAGTGGCGAATATAAATTAGCCATATCACAATCCTCCTCTATAAATACAAGCGATCTTCAACGCAAAATCCGGGGATGAATGGTTAGAGCTGCCGTTGTCTACCTCTCAATACCATTCTCAAAATTAGAGCTAGCTTTACTGAAGTTCTAGCCAGATACCCTTGTTGTATTCTATTTCTGCGTATCCTCCTCACACAATCTTCCACAACGAACAGCCCTAATATTCAGTGCATGATACGCAACCAATTGTCAGTCAGATTGGCACAAGCACGCCGGAACTTGCGTTTCCTCCCTTGTCTGGTTAAGTGTCTGTCGGTAGTGATTGGTGTAAGATGTGACGCTGGTAATCGCTGTCCTGCCCAGAAACCGTCCCGAGCTCTCCGAGGAACTTCAGCTAGGTTTTACAACATGTCGGAAAAACAGTACCTGAGCATGTAAATATAGGATGATGTGGAAACTAAGTCACAAATTCACTGGTAGGCGCTTGGGAGGCCGATCGCGCTTTAGGTTTGCTTCGCAGTAATTAACTTCCACTGATTATGACCCCATGAGACCTTCAATGTCAGTCATCATACACTAATATCAACCGCATACGTTGTCATCATCATCTTTTTGCTTTTTCCTTCTTGTCTTACTTTTTTTTTCCTTTTCTATTTTTTCCTTTCTTTCCAACATATACTTCGTACTGTTGGGTGCACATGTGATTGAAAAGGGGTTGTTTTCAGGGTCTCTGTCGTCAGTGCCTTTTGTCCTACGTTCTGGCTTGGCGGTAGATATTACGGGTTCAGAAGCAATACTGAGTAACCGTAGAGTGTATTTACTAGGAATATAGATTGCTGCTGCATGTTAGGTTTGGATTTCTGCACGATCAATATCTGGTTTTTTTTCGAAGTGAGACTGGATAAAGGAGCAATAAGTTCCAGACGAGTAACACGAGTCTCTCGTATAATACGGAGCTGCGTACTTGGAATACCAGGATTGATCTCGGGGGAAGGTGTGGCTTGTCTGCTGCTTGTGTAGTTAACGGATATGAGTCATGAGGTACTATAAGCTGGCCGTATGTCTGAATAAGTAATGAAAAAGGGTTCTCGGCAAACCTACCCTTCCTCTGCAATTTGACGACTTACTCGAATGGCCTGGAACATATGACAAGGTAGCAGAACCGGATATCAAGATTTAGAGTCCCAGACAGTTGTTGGAGCTCAAAGTCTTGTATCTTGTTAGGGCGTAACATGAGAATAGTTTCTAAAAGTATATTTTAAACACTAGCTCAGGACCTAGTTATTACCGTGTAATTGGAGATGAATTGAAAGGCAGGGTGCGTAATCCAAAAAGGCGAAGGTTCTACTGGTGGAACACAAGACGGTACCCTAATTTTGTTATTATCGAATAGAATCAAAGAGAATTTAAAGCATAGGAAAACTTAAAAAGACCCCCCAGCAGGGAATTTTATGACCCTCTAGCTTGGAACCTTATTTCGAGAGTAGATGCTATGTGAAGCTTTGTATATCTTAAGCCTGTTTTCGTAGAGCTATAGTGAGTTTACTGGGTATATATACTTGAAATCTGCCCTAACGCGTCTTACGCGTCGGCCCGCGCACTAGGCCAGGTTGCTATTCCACTTTCCTCTCTCATTATACACAAGTCTCATCAACCTCATTGACCTCCTCACTGGTTTGAAGTGCCTGTTATTCAACCTTCTAAACTTTTGAGACCACAGCACTTAGGATCCTGAAAGACTCCCTCGTCTATTTTCCTCCTTCTTTAGACTGTAGTCTGTCTCCAGCTTCGTCCCTTATGGCAGATTCCTCTCTACCATAGCCAAAATCATACTCAGAACCGCAAAAGCAGGTGCAACATACCACACCAATTTGAGCGCCTGGGTAAACACCTCAATCGTTGCGGAGCGTTCCGACTCCGACAGCGTAGAAAGAAAGGCCTGCGTGGCATGTCCATATGCGTGACCGCTGGAGAGAGCACTCCTGATGTTAGCGTCAGGTATCTGCTGTGAGAGAGTTTCGCAGCGGTTGTTGAAGATTGTGGCCGGGATCGTCATAGGCCAGATGTTGGCAAGCCCACGGAAAAATGAAAACGTAGAGGTTGCCGCGGCTTGGTCGCTCTCAGGCACTCCCGCCTGGAAGGCCGGAAGGAGAGTATTTATAACCATGTCCAGGCCGGCAGAGAAGGCAATTTCTGTCATGATCCAGGTAAGATTGGATGACCGCCGGTCGAGGCGGGCGAATAGGCCCAGGCCCAAAGCCATACCGGCGAAACCAAGAATATGGAGGAGCTTGTATTTGCCAAACTTACTGACAACTATGAATGCCACAATCGATGCCAGAACAGCCATAATAATCAAAGGTAGAATCTGAGCACCGGCGTGAAATGGGGTGGATTGTTTGACGGCTTGGAAATAGACTGGAAGAAAGAAATTAACCCAGTTATTGAGCAAGGCGCTTGAGAATGTGTTGAGAGCCACGATAGCTCCGGTGCGGTGGCCAAGAAGTCGCAGAGGCATCACAGGAGTCCCGTCGCAAAAGCCCTCCGTAGCTACAAAGATGACAAGTCCTAGAACATCTACCACCATGGACGCTATGATACGAGGGCTATTCCAGGGATAATTCGAGCCAGAATAGGTCAGAGCGTAAAGAATGGAGGCAGTAGAGCCTATGACGAGGAAGTTGCCAACATAGTCTATGCGTCGCATCTTTCCCCAGAATGTAGCGCCCTCTTCTTTAGTCTCAACCTTAAGAAACATAACTATAAAGAGAACGCTAAGCACACCAAATGGTATTTGTAACCAAAAGTTCCAGCGCCAGCTTTCGCTATTGGCTTGTGAAAGAGAGCCGCCAATCAGAGGACCGGATGATGCCCAGACGAGATACACCACGAGGGTGATGGCGATATATTTTCCACGGTCACGAAGGGGGACAAGGTCCGAGACTATGATGGAACTCATCACAGTAATGCCGCCGACGCCGGCGCCTTGAATTGTCCGCCCAAGAATCAGCTGTGAGGCATTCGTGGCAGCCCCAGAGATTGCACCCCCAGCCATGAAGATTAGAATAACCACGGTAGTAAGCCATCGACGGCGGAAGAGGTTTGCAAACTGTCCTAGGAGGGGTGATACGGCAGTACTAATTACAGTTTTTCAGGTCAGCACCCCACTGATAGAAACGCAGCGAAATCACAGTCTTATGATAGACGTGATGATGACTAACCTTGCTAGCGCGTATCCGTTGGTAACCCATGCATAGTCAGCACCAATGTTGAGCTTCTGCACAACCGTTGGTAGTGAGGTTGCCACGATGGTTATTTCCAACGCCAACATCAAGTTGCCCATGCACGGAGCAGCAATAACAGATCAGAAACGGAAACCTTTCTCGACACCTTTTGCGGCCTTTGACGCCTCTGACTGATCGTGACCATTACTAGCCTCGTCCCTCTTCTCATGCGTGTCATTTTGCTTGGTATGTGATGGCGTGCTGGAGTCGAACCCATGTGTAGAGTCTCGCGGCTCATTCACCGCAGCGTGGTCCGGCCGTAAGGAATGGCGACGTTGGCGGGGAAGCATTTTTTGCTAGAAATTTCCTCTTTTTTGAGCGGTTGATGTTACTGAGGCTCAGTATCACAAAGATTGCCGATTCGATCAGATAATTTGCCTGGCCAAACTGTCTGAGAGGCCCCAAGATGGCGGTTGAATAGTTATAAGGTCGAATGACAACTTGTATTGGTGACACCTTCCCTCGTAAAGCTGCTACTGGCCAACTGAAGGACTAATTCGTTATGTTCAAAGACAAGATGGTTTGGATATCACTCCGCCCTCAACCAAGTGCGATTCAACCTAGTTTACTAACATCATCCAATAGCGTAACCAAACCAGAGCAGCCAACTGCGCTCACAAAGTAAGGTTTTGTTGCGGCAACCGCTGTAACCGCGAGTCGGCCATCGCATGACCCAGCAGCTCTAAGAATAAAACCCTGTGTCATGATCGCCCTTTTTCTGAGCGATACTAAGTGCTTGGTGCGTTCTGCAGTGTGCTGTTGGCGTGTGTAGCATCGTTCAAGGGTCGACCCTTAGTCATTGTCAAACCTCAGACTGTAAGTTTGGCGTGGGGCGTTCTCCGCATATTGTTTTGGTAAAACAATGAGTGACGCGGCAATCAGTGGGAGACCCGCGCGTCTCACTTTAGCCATCAGTGGAGAAGACTGGCATTTCTAAGACAGCTGAATTCTACAGGGAATAGAGCTGATTGAAAACGTGGTCATGACTGGTTAACTCTATTAGCTCCAAAATTATTTCTTGAATTTGAATTGCAGTTGGGGTTTCTGATCCCTTGCCGCACCCGATGGAATACCCATGGCCCCTCTGGGAAGTGACTGGTCTAGGTTTGGCATTTCGGGCAAAGCTGTCTCATTGTCAAGCATCACCAAGCCTCGGCCAACTACAGAAAACTTCTGGTTAGTCTTACACCTGGTCCATGTTGTCGCAAAAGATTCGAGGAAGACAATTACGCAGCTTCAACTGATCCCAAGCTTTTAGCTCCTCCTCATCTGGCTCTCGAGTATATACTTCATCGGCCTCTAGAATCGTGGTAGTCGAAACTAAGAGAGGCAGTGTAAGTAAGTATTAACTCAGAGAATAAGCCAAGATATGGAGTCATCAGAATTCGCATAGATCGACCAGCAAGCGGACTGCTTACTCTCCGGAGGAAACCACTTTGGTTTATTGAGGTAGTGTACGGTTTCTGGGTTTACACATGTAACGGAACCGGTAAGTAGAGCTATTCATCGTCATCAAAAGGAGCACGATGCAAAACGTATTGGACAAAGACAGCATGAACATTATGCGTCCTGAATGTGCTGAAGGTTCCTTTGAAGAGCCAACATCATAGAGAACATGCCCATTGATCAGCCTGGAGGTCTCATGGGTAGGAGATGATGCTGCTTCGCTGAACTCCAGGTCTTCCGATTCGCGCTTATGAGCCATCATGAATAGAAATAGAAGAAAGAGGGGGGAAGGACAGGTACCGGCTGGTTGAGTTCTCGTAGTTGAGTTCTCTTGGGTTCAGATGCTGTGAATGAATGTAGAGGGGGCGATTGTGCTTCGCTCTAATCTTTATGTTACTGGAACTGCTATCAATCAGCTTGGCGGCATTGTTTATTTCATAGCAGAAGGTTCACCTTGGAAAACAATCATTGCGGGTTTTCTGTTGATTATTTTGGTTACATGCATCTTAAGGTTTCGTATTTGAGAGTCAGTTACTTTTGACTAACTGCAACCCCAAGATCTATTGATCAAGGCTGGAAAAGATGTCGTGTATTGGAAAGTTTCATCTGTACTGACTCATGACCCGCAGAGCCGAAAGTACTCGCAGATGGTTCTTTAGCGTGTGTCCACTCGGGGGTGTGAAATGAGGGGACGACCCTGATAAACTAGTCAGGCCGCTTCAGCCCCTGTCGTACACTTGATGTGTTAGGAGCAATTTTTTTGCTCTTTGCTCTTTGCTCTTTCATGTTATGGAACTGTCCGAAGTTTGAATTGTGCACTCTACTTCACCTTTCTCCCATCAATGGTCTGTTCCACTGCGTGATTTCGCTGTCATTTTGATCCCTGAGAGACCACATCCGTGACACAACTACAGAAATGATAAACCAACAAGAACAACCAAAGTGGTCGTCTTTGCCACGAAAAGGTCAATTGCTTGTACTATGTTTGATACGCATTGCCGAACCTATCTCCAGATTCTGCGTCAACTCATATATATTTTATCAACTTCAATCTCTTGACCCGTCGTTGCCCAGTGATGAGGTCATTAAGCAAGCGTCTTATCTTCGGACAGCTTACACGTTAGCTCAATGCGCCTCATCTGTCATCTGGGGCCGCGTCGCGGACTCGCCGCGAGGTGGAAGAAAACTTGTTATGCTTGTGGGCTTGAGCTTTACATGTTCGTAAACATCATGAGCCTCTAGAAAGCGAAATGCTAATCACGATCTTCGTTTACCACTTGCAGTTATCACCATGTTGTTGCTGGGTTTCATATCCAGCTTCAAGCAGGCTCTATTTATTCATGCTGTTCAGGGTTTCTCAAATAGCAACACGGCCATTGTAAGGACACTAGTTTCCGAAGTGGTACCACAAAAGCGGTAGGTTTATCCTCTAAACAGTAAAGGAATCAGGTAATAACAATCTTGTGCTTGCAGGTTTCAAGCAAGAGCATTCGTGCTGCTGCCGATATGTACGAGCCTCGCAACAATCGTCGGCCCAATGATAGCAGGTTTAACCGTAGAAGCCAAACCCCCAGCACAAGGCAACAATGAGCCCCTGTTAAAGAGATATCCTTATGCGTTGCCAGCTTTGATGAACTCCATGGTTTTGATGTTTTCTCTGTTAGCGACGTTCTTCTTCCTTGAGGAGGTATGCCTATTCAAATCCTCATGTATACTTCGGATCCTGTGTAACTGACTGTCAAAGACCTCGAAACCTTTGCGTGGAAGATATGATCCTGGAATTGCCGTCTCTCGAGGATTCTTTTCATTAGTATGTGGCTCGTCTGGACGACAAACAACGCGTTACGAGGCCATCTCTCTCGACCCCGATGAACGGAAAGAGATGAACTCTGTGAATGGAAACGAAGACAACGATCAGGCAAGCCAGACAATGCTATTTGGCTCAGATTCTGATGACGATCAGGCTAAGGAGAAAACAACAACTGTATTGCCGATGAGTCGAATATTTACCAAACAGATGTTACTCGTCTTGTTTGCCACAGTCCTCCTAGATATCCAGATTGGCGTTACTAGCGACGCCATGTTCAACATGTTCAGTTTTCCTGTAGCAAGCGAGGAGGCGGCACGTAGTAGGGCACTTCCATTCCGATTTAGTGGTGGCGCTGGATTTGAGCCAAGTTCGCTCGCATGGACGACGAGTATATTCGGTAAGTTCTCCTATAACCATGTTCTCTCCCGTTTCATTAGTGTCGACACATGTGCTCACATTCAATTCTCTGCAGGCCTTATGGGGCTCCCTTTCCAGCTCTGGGTATACCCTCGGGTCACTCAGCGCCTTGGCGTATTGAAGACCTGGAGATACTTTATGTTCGCTTTTCCATTAATATGGTTCCTGTACCCATATACTGCCGTAATGCCTTCCAGCACACCTCCACCTTCGGGAAAGACTGGGGTTTTCATCTGGACATACGTTGTGTTCCTTGCTGTTGCTGCAGGGCTTTTTGTAGGATGTGTGGCCCCTTGCCAGCTCATACTTACAACACTGTCTTCGCCACATCCCTCCGCTCTGGGTAGAACCCAAAGTATTGCATTCTTTGTGTCTACAGGGGTCAGAGCTTTTAGCTCTGCGCTGTCTGGAACACTTTTGGCCTATGGCATGAAGCACAATCTGGCTGGCCTGCCTTTCTGGATCAGCACGCTGGTAGGTGTGATAGCAATAATCACCAGTCCAATTGTAAAAGAAGGGAACGGTCATGAGATTCAACTCCCTGGGGATGAATAGAAGCAACTTTACAGAGTATAGCTTGTTAAATGGAGCATCTTAGTACTAGACAACCACGTTGCAAGGTCATTTGTTTCAAAAAAATGTTCCTTAGCCAAGTTTCTACGTACTTGATAAACCATTGGATCATGGTGCGTGCAGCTTGAGAAAATATGCGCTTTTGTAGACTTGAACATGATATTTTGGGCGTCGCAGACCCTATCGCCCACGGCAACGCATGTGACGTCTGACCCGACAGCGACGACGGTGCCAGCGACATCCGCGCCAAGAGTGCTCAATGGAACCGCAAAGCTCCCTTTCATCTTCGCATCGCTGGGATTCAGGACGACAGCCTCTATGCGCACTACAATTTGGTTCGAGGAAAATCTCGGGCAAGGTGCGTCTGGCCGGATCATGGGCATATCCCTATCTTCCAAGACCACAGCCGTCTGTGTAGCTGGCGGGGTGAAGGAGCTTGCCATTGTCGCCGGGTAGGGTTGTGGATCATGTAAGAGGATATATCAAGTACTGACGGGCTTGCTGCCTGTGGTTTTCTGACGGTCG